AAAAAAAAAAAAAAAAAAAAAAAAGGCAGAAAAGTGAATAAAAATGGTTCAAGTTAGAACTACAGTAAATACCTATTTTTGCTATAATTCAAGAACACTTTGTTCAATTCACTGGAAACTTCCAGAAAAAACTAAACTCAATACTAGCTGTCGCCTGCCAATTTTGAGCATATGCTTTTTTGTGGGTAGATATGAATGGAGGGGCCACAACCAGGTTTATAACAAACACTTACCTGCAACTTTGATTATGGAGCATCTGCCATCAGTCCACAATTGCCTATCAGTCTAGAAGATTAGGCTATAACAGTGTGCATTTGTCTTTTAGTTCTAGGACAGCATGTGTATTCAGATTCATAATATCTACAAGCAGATCCACTGACCTAAGAAATTATGCTTCAGTTTTATTAGTTCAATATCCTGCTGTAGCTGATGAGTTTAAAAGTACACATTTTAAAATCAGGAAATACTTGAGTGAAACCTCTGCAGCTAGGAACGGAAGAAGATAAAAACATTCTAAAATGCAAGTGTTACAACCACAAAGTTTAACCCCAGGCCTTGGCTTTTGGAACAGCTGTTTATTAAAGACATTCATCAGTGTTCACTGGTTATAACCTTTACTACTGATAATAAGGAGAGCCTACAGAACTGCCCTAACCTGTGCAAAAAAGCGTATTTTCCCCCTCCTCCATGAGTCATGATTTTTGTTCCAATGAAAGAGAGGAAATTAGAACATCTGGCAAAATGGCTTTTGCAATGTTTCTAAGAATAGATTTGTTTTGTGCTCTTATGGATAATGTAATATTCCCATACGATATCACACAAAAATGAAACTAGATCAAGATCTGTCACACCTGTAAAACCCCAAAACTTTGGAAACCCCCTGACTGCTTTTTTGGTTGATTTGCTTTTAAGCTTCTATATCTCTTATCCTTTTTCTCCATCATACCAGCTCTTGTTCTCCTTTTCCATGACCTTAAGCCCCAAAGCTTCTAGTGGTACCATGTTCCCTCCAGAATTACATTCATTTCACAGAGAAACGGGGACTCAAAAGTGCTAAGATGCTTGTGAAATGACTAAGTTGGATATCTGGACAGTTGACCATAGCTCAAATACAATTCTGTTATAACTTCATTATTTAATTAGCTTTACAAAAGATGACAACCGTGTATACTAAACACTAGAATGTTAAGAAGGAGACACTAGTTTCCATAAAATGACAATGGCAAGTGGCCCAAAATTAGCAATATTTGGGAATAAATGGGAAGGTGTATGGGGAAGACAACAGTCAATGATTTCTGGCCAGCCACAGAACCTCCAGGGAATGACACAAAAAAGAATGCAGGAGCTCCCTGACACTGGTGGCACCACACAGATCTTGACAGAGAAGGCAAAGCAGCCTAGCACAGAAGCAATGTAAACCATGCACTTGCACACAGCTCTAAGCCAGTCATAGCCCACCGTACACTATAGTTATGTTTTTGTGTGGCTGACAAGCTGAAACAGGGGCCTGAAAGCTGAACCTTTGCACAGGACCCCTGAAAGAAAAAACCCATAGCTGACCCAAAGCTAGACACCCCTCTATTAACAAGATCCACCACATACACAGATAGCATTAAGGGTCCCTATGCATGTGCAGTGAGGCTGCTCCGACACACTGTAATTACTGCGCTCCAGCATTTTTTGTATTAGTGTCCCCATGCTGAAAAATGGTGGCAGGGATGTTTTAACTAAAGGTCGTTCAATGCTGATAACACGAGATACTCCAGGCACTTTAATTACAGCACCCCCTATCCCCCGCCCCTACTCCTGGAACACATGTATAAATGTTCTAAGACAACTTCCTTTATGGACTTTGTACATTTTGCTGTCCTAAACAGTTACATATTCTCCCTCCTTGACTGCAGCCCAGATTTGCCCCAGAATGCCTACCTCTTCTTTTACCTTATTAGGTATAGGAAAAAGAGACAAAGCAAATGTCCATCTTCCAGTACCATTTCAATGTGGTCCTGTTTTCTGTTCCCAAGTGCTGTATTTTTATTCCTTACTGGCGCTGATGTGTTTCAGAGATAAAGAAACAAAAATGTAGGAGTTGTCTTCATTTAGATGGGTTTTTTCATCCTTAGATCATTCTTTTTATCTTTCAACAGTCTCAATTTATGAACAAGACATAACTCAGTGTAAATGAAATACATGTCTTGTTTAGGTAAAATTTTTAAATACTTAACGCATACATCAAAACCAACAGAAACAAAATGATCCTGCCAATGGCAAAGCCGCAGTTTGTCCCCGGCTCCAGTGAGAGATGCACAGGCAGAAGCCCGTTGTGCCCTGTTGAGTCCAGGGCCCCCAGGACCCCCTAGCGGGACCCCGACCCAGACCCCCAGAGCAGCCAGAGGTAGGTGGGGCCCGTGGCAGGGAGGGAGGGACCCCAACCCAGACAGCTGCAGGGCAGCTGACTGGGAGCCAAGGAAGGACACCCCCTCCCCGCCCCAGATCCTACTTGGCCCAGCCCCCAGGGAGCCATGCGACTGGAGCCTTGTGAACAGGCCGCACAAACAGGCACACTTCTGGGCCCGGAGTGTGAGTTTAGCATGGGAGTTTGCACAGGAGGGTAAGCGGGAGGGCCCGAGGCCCTGCCAGTGAGCCCTAGAGAAGGCAGTCCCATCAGTAGCCGGACTTCCAGCAGCACAATGCAGACGGGCACACGCCGCACCCCAAGGGTCCCCTTGGAGTCTGCAGCCTCCCCCTCTGGAACCTCAGAGGTCTCCACCCAGACGGACCACGTGGTTCCAGGCTCCACGCAGACGGAGCCTCTGGCTCTCAGCTGCAGGGGCTGCCTGGCACATTTCCAGGCACATGGGACCTCCCCATGCAAGGTCTGCTCCACTTTGGAGTCTCTGGGGCGCCAGATAGAGGAGCTCCAGGTCGCAGTCCAGAGACTGCACGCAGGATGGCAAGCAGGAGATAGACTCCTACTGCCAAGCCCTTCACCCACTGGAGGCAGAGGGTAGACCAAGGTCACCTTCCAGGACAAGGGAGGACTCAGGGATCTCCCATACTGTCCAGCCAGGGGACTGGACCAAGGTGTTCAGTGGCCCCAAGGCCTGCTGCACCAAGGTCCCCGCCCCTCTGGAGCTTTGCAACAGGTACGAACCTCTTGCAGCCCCAGTAGAGCCTGCAGAGTTGCCACCTCCTGCAAGCAACGCAGGCTCATCCTCAGCTACTGTCCCTGCTCTCCCTAAGGCCACTCGTAGAGTGGTCATCACAGAACACTCCCTCCTGAAGGGGACTGAGGGCACAATCTGCTGCCCTGACCCCTTAGCCCGGGAGGTCTGCTGCTTCCCAGGAACCCATGTCCCAGACGTAGCTGAGGAGCATCCCAAAACTCATCCGACCCACCGACCACTACCCCATGCTCCTTATCCATGTGCACACAAATGACACTGTTCGGAGCAAAAACACTGCTGAGGCGCTACAGGGCTTTGGGAGCCGGGCTTAGAGGGGTGGGGGCACAGATGGTGTTTTCCTCAATCCTCCCGGTTTTGGGCTATGGGCTGAGGGAGAGGAGGATCAAGGTGGCCAACCAGATACTGCGGCGCTGGTGTTATCATGAAGGCTTTGGCTTCTACGATCACTGTCCACTCTTTGGTGAGAGAGGCAATGGTCTGCTGGGAAGAGATGGCCTTCACCTCACTCCACCATGGAGGAGGCTCTTCTCAGCCAGACTGGCTGACCTATTCAACCGGACTTTAAACTAAGACCGCCGGGGGATGGGTGGCCCACTAGGCAATTACTGCATAACCAACAGGTTAGGGCACTCAAGGGAATCCACACCTACCCCAGCCCTGAAACAGTGTCTGCCTGGGAGTGCAAGGAAGCCTAGGGCTTCCAATGGGACACTTACGTGTCTGTACACCAATGCCAGGAGCTTGGGAAACAAACAGGAGGAACTGATCTCATAGGGATAACGGAGACCTAGTGGGACTCCACCTATGACTGGGCCACAGGTATAGATGGCTATACCCTGTACAGGACAGATCATGCAGATAAAAGTGGTGGGGGTGTAGCTCTCTATGTGAAGGAAAGCTACACGTCCCTGCAAATTGACATTGGCACCCAAGGAGGACAACTGGAGGCCCTCTGGGTTAAAACAGACAGAGAACATGGCACAGGGGACATCATGATAGGAGTCTACTACAGACCTCCTAACCAGAAACAAGAGCTAGATCAGGAATTTGCCAGGGAACTGGCTGAGGCTGCACGCTCCTAGTGCATGGCTGTCACGGGAGACTTTAACTACGTGGACATCTCATGGGAAGAGCACTTGGACAAATCCGACTAATCTCAAAGCTTCCTCACGTGCATGGACGAGCTCTACCTGACTCAAGAAGTCTATGGGCCAACAAGAAGTAAAGCAGTGTTGGACCTGGTACTGGCCAAAGGGGATGATCTAGTCAGTGACCTAAGAATCAATGGAAAGCTGGGTGATAGTGACCACGAGCTGATCACCTTTACCATCCATCACAAAGCTGGCAAGTCAGTCAGCAATGCAGAAGTCCTCGACTTTAGGAAAGCTGACTTTGACAAGCTCAGGAGGCTCATTGTCGAGGCCCTAAGAGACCATGACTCGATAGGAAGAGGAGTTCAAAAGGAGTGGTTGCTCCTCAAGGGAGTGATCCTGACAGCACAAGGGATGTCCACTCCATCTCGGAGGAAGGGCAGCAAAAGGGCACAGCAACCCTCTTGGCTCTGCAAGGAACCTGAGGATCTCCTACACCTAAAAAGAGAAACTTATAAAGGATGGAAGGCTGGAATAACCACCAAGGAGGAGTACTCAGCACTGGTCCATGCCTGCAGGGAGTGGACCAGGAAAGCCAAGGCTGCAACCGAACTCTATCTGGCTTTGCATATCAAGGATAATAAAAAAATCCTTTTTCAGATACGTAGGGAATCAGAAAAAAAGCAAGGGTAACATTGGACCTCTGCTGAACCAAATGGGATAACTGATAACCAACACCCAGGAAAAAGCCAACCTGCTTAATGGGTACTTCATGTCAGTCTTTCATAAGCCTGAAGGGACCGCCCTGCCTAGCATGATGCAGGACAGCTAGAGTGAGGGTGTCTTTATACCCAGCATCGGTGTAGACCTTGTAAAGGAACACCTTGAGAGGCTGGACATCTTCAAGTCAGCTAGTCCTGACAGATTACACCCTAGAGTACTCAAGGAGCTGGCAGGTGTCATAGCCCAACCATTGGCAAAAATATTTGAAAACTTGTGGTGCTCAGGTGAAGTACCTGAAGACTGGAAGAAGGCCAATGTGGTACCCATCTTCAAAAAAGGGCAGAAAGTAGATCCCAGGAATTACAGGCCAATCAGCTTGGCCTCAATCCCTTGTAAGATTCTCAAGAAGTTCCTTTCTGCGTAAGCTGGCTAATGGCAATATCCTGAGGGACAGCCAGCATGGGTTTGTTATAGGTAGGTCTTGCCTGACCAATCTCATCTCCTTCTATGACCAGGTGACATATCATCAAGGGAAAAGAGATTGACATCACATATCTGGACTTCAAAAAAGCCTTTGATCAGGTGTCCCATGATCTCCTCAGGGAAAAATTGGCCAACTGTGGCCTCGGCTACACCACAGTCCAATGGCTGGGAAATTGGCTCTGAGGTCAGACCCAGAGAGTAGTAGTCACTGGAAGTAAATCATTATGGCGCTCCGTGACCAGTGGTGTCCCCCAAGGTTCTGTCCAGTTCTCTTTAACATGTTTTTCAATGATGTGGACATTGGTGTCAGAAACACACTGGCCAAATTTGTCAACGACACAAAACTTTGCAGCATAGCATCCACACCTGAGGATAGGCTAGTAATCCAGGCTGACTTGGATAAGCTTAGCAAGTGGGCGGATATAAACCTGATGACGTTCAATACAGAAAAGTGCAAGGCACTTCACCCTGGGGAAAAAAAACCCACAGCATGCTTATAGGCTCGCTTCCTAGCACCACGGCTGAAAGAGACTTGAGGGTCATGACTGACCACAAGATGAACACGAGCCTCTGATGTGATGTCGCAGCTGGTAAAGCAAACAAAACTCTAACTTTCATCCATAGATGTTTCTCAAGTAAATCTCAGGATGTCATTCACCTGCTGTACTCAGCCTTGGTGAGGCTGCAGCTGGAGTACTGCATCCAATTCTGGGCTCCACTATTCAAGAAGGATGTCGAGAACCTTGAGAGAGTCCACAGGAAGAGCCACACGCATGATCAGAGGGCAAGAGAATAGGCCTTATGAAGAGAGACTGAGAGCCACGGGACTCTTCAGTCTGGAAAAGCGCAGACTCAGGAGTGACCTGGTGGCTGCCTGTAAGTACGTAAGGAGTGTGCATGAGGATCTAGGGGAACATCTGTTCACCAGAGTGCCCCAGGGGTTAACAAGGACCAATGGTCATAAACTCCTCCATGACCATTTTAGGCTGGACATAAGGAAAAACTTCTTTACTGTCCGAACCCCCAAGGCCTGGAACAGACTCCCTCCAGAAGCGGTGCAGGTGTCTAACTCTGGACTCATTTTAGAAACGTTTGAATGTTTATCTTGCTGGGATCCCTTGACCCTAGCTGACTTCCTGCCCCTGATGCAGGGGGCTGGACTTGATGATCTTCAAGGTCCCTTCCAGCCCTAATGTCTATGAAATCTCCAGGCTGGAAAATCCAACATAATATTCAGTTTGGAAGCCAGTTTGTAAAAGAGTTAATTTTTATTTTGCTTCTTACTATATGCATTTTATTTTGCTCCTCACTAAAAAAAAATGACTATATGGTTCTACTTCAAAGAGTTTGCTTGTACTCTTTTTGGCAGTTCCATTAAAAAAGCTAAAACACTGAAAAGATTCAAGACAAACATTGCAAGACATATTTAGCTCACTATTAAATGTGTTATCTTTCAGTAAAATGGTGATCCTGGCCCCACAAGACTGAGTGGCTGTCCAGGTTTCTGATAAAGGTAGAACAGTAGAAGATGGAGTTTCCCTTTCCTATGAGAAGCTATGATTTGTTTTTTTAGATTGTTTGAGAGTAATGATTAGGGTAAGAGGCACAGATGCAATGCATACCCCATAGCATCTCTTGTGGATAAGACCCCTCATATTCAAGCCCTTATGTAAATGAGTAACTTGACCCATCTAAGCATATTTCACTGGGACTACTGAAAACAATTAGCACATGCAAACTGTGCACTACTGAGTAAAGTATGGGCATAAATTTTTGCAGAGCTTTGGCCTAAGGACCAAATCTGTATTTCTCTTGTATGAAAACTCAACTTCAGTACTGCAAAGCCTAAAAATTTGCCACCTTGCCTCAGGAGGGTGATACAAATTGCCAGGATTCCTAT